TATATATATATATATAGAAGCAGTAGGGTGGATGGTTGGCTCAAACACACAATTTCTTTTAAGTAACATAAGTAATTTTAACTTACATAAGAAAGTAGTTTGTGTGTAAACGTAACCCAAGAGTGACCACAAGTCTTACCAGATGTTGCATATTTTTAGCTGCTAACTAAACGGCAGAGCCCTGTGCGTCCAGAAATGACGCTACTACAACTAACTACTAGCGCAATATTTCGAGGCAGAGGGACACTGACCAAGTGGCAGTATTTGACGAGCTGGGACTGAGAATTTGTTTGTGATGACAGGAAACTTCCATGATGTCCTTGGTGAGTATTAGGCTCCAATGTCCTGAGTAATCTTGCAAAATCTAATTCTGACATCACAATAAACATTATGGGGACATTTGTGGTTTCCATGACATTTTATGAACATTGGAGTGTATTAACGTCATGATCTGACAGTCATACAGTATAGCTTATGGTTATTATGACAATACCTGTCATGATATCATTGTGGGAATTCCTTCAGTGTTCTTCCAGTTTTGGCCAGAAAAGTTTACCGGATCTTCAGTATGAAACTATGTTTCACAACACAACACAATGTCAACACAAATGCTGCCAGATTTCCTCTGGTTATATAGTTGCCCAGGAGTGGCCTGTTATGATGGAGTGTTAGAGCCACTGTTTTGAAAATATAAGAAATAAAAATTAAAGTTGTAATATGATAAGATTTTAATTCTATGCCAACAGAGCAGTCGTGAGCTTTTACCTGCCAAATGAGCAACCTGAGGTTATAGGCTTCACCAATAAGCACCTTGTTATCACAGATTATAGGATATTCAAATCAAATTAAGTTGTATGTATGAGTCAAGAACTGTAATGTGTTTTGAATTAGCTGATGGAGTCCACACAATGGGGACTTGGTTTCCATCAGACAGCTGTGGCCAAGAGTGCAGTCATGGCGTTGGGAAATGATTAAAGCTCAGTGGGCTTTATGACTCTGGAAATCACATCGAAGGCAACAAGCATAATATACCTAATGTATATTCTGCTGCGCATTACGTTATCGCTCTGGGTGCTGTCCTCATCCTTAAAGCCCCTTCTCTTGTAAAACCGATACATACTGAACACACACTTCCAATGAAGCATATATCTCAAGTTAGGTAACAGGTAACATCTCCACCTCTGTCAAAGTATGGCACACAGCTGCTTCCCTAAGCTTTTCAATGGGAAGCATCCTGGACTTTAGGACACATTCCCAAATGAAATCAGGTGACGTAGTATAAAAAGAGAGAGTCCACATATAGAGGTGGTGGGGTGGATGGTTGGCTTAAACAAACACAGGACTTGAACCCAGGAGACCACTGTTTGTGTACCGTATGTAATTCTAATTGACAGAACTTACTTAAGTTATGTTAGGTAAGCAACATAACACAACTTTTCCTATACCCAAGTAGTTTTTGTGGCTAATCCTAAGGACGTAGTGTGTAAACATAACCCAAGTGCGACTATTTCACAATCACCACACAAGCTTTATTTTGAAAGTCTAACCAGATGTTGCATATTTATTGTTGAGTGCTGAGTTATGAGTGCGGTCTAAAACAGCTTGCTAAATGTATCTTTGTCATTGGTGTCAGTTTCTTCTTCAGTGTGATTGAGGAAGGTCCCCAGCCTTCTTTGTTATGCTGTCATGATTCCATGTCCCTGATGCCACGCTGCCCATGTAAGATTAGGGCCAAAAGTCTGAAGCTAAAAAAATATGGTCTGGAATGGAAAAAGTAAGAAATAAAATGTAAAAATATATATGAAAGTGACAAATAAAAATAACTTAAAAAAAAAAAATATTCCAGAATTGATTTTTTATTTTTTTTTTTAAATTTTGAATACATTGTTGTAATTCAAAATCAAAACTTAAAAGAGAAGTGTGTAGAAAAGGTAAAAGTCTAGAGCTGTATACTGGCTATAGGAAAGTGACCTAGTCTAAACTCAAGTCTTTTGCAAGTAAAAATAGTAACTGTAACATGCACATGCACATGCACATGCAGTCCAATCAATCTAATCTAATGGCACTTTTTTTCTGGCAATATTATGACTTTTTTTCTCAAAATACTATGTCTGCCTCATTAAAATTTATATACACCTACATAATATTAGGAATCTATTATATTCTGATGTGAAGCTTTACATATAATATCATGAGACAAACAGGATATTTTCTTTCAAAAGTAACAACAGCGCTTCCCTTCCAGAGTTGGCATCATTAAGTTTGGGTTTTCAGATAGGGAACAAAAATTTCCATGTGTGTTGTGTTCTGCAAAAGATGTCCTGGACAGTGAGTAATATTTGAGTTGGCAACAATTTTGGCCACCGCGTTACAACAGCAGCAGTGGAAAAACGTAGAAACAAAGCAATCTGTGAGAGGAGAAAGTCCCCTGTGTGAAAACATTACTGGAAGGCCTTTGGCGTCATCTGTGACCTGCTGCTTCTGTCTGGCCTGGATCACTGTGTGTGTCACTGCACGCTGGTTTAGACTACATGTGGAGAAATTGTGAAGACTAAGAGTGAGTGTGAGTGAATGTGCAATTCACTCAGGCAATGCTGTATTAAAAAATAAGAGTGATTAATATGTAATTCGGTCACAGGGATGATGTGACGTCAAGAACTACATGAGAATCGGAGGCACTTCCTTTTTACTCAGCAAAGTCACTCCCACAGAAAAGGACATATGCTCAAGTGCTTTGCCTTATTTTGTCAGGTAATGATTCATTTCCCACTCCATATATAATAAAGACAAAAAGCTCATTTTGCCACAAGGGATTCTGTTGACCTTGGAATCAAAGACATTAATCTAAAACATTTTTGGAGCATCTTTTTTGGACTGAACATCCTGGGAAACCAGTTTACTGGCAGCAAGCATGAGATGAGTTCAATTTAGTGTCATCAAGTTGAGTTTGACTTTATTTCTGTAGTTTCTCATCACAAAAAGCATGTGTTAAAAAAGTTTAGAAAGCCTACTTAAATTTAAATAAAGAAATCAATAAACCCGGTCTCGCTTCCAAGTTGTCAAATACTGCCACTTGGTTAGTCACCTTTAAAATATGACACTGTAGGCCTCCATCTAGTGTCATTTCTGGACCCACCTGCTTTCGAATTTAGGTAAAGAGTGAGAGAGCCCGCATATAGAGGTGTAGGGCAGGCTCAAACAAACACCAAACTTGAACCCATGAGATCGATGTTGGTGTCTTAATAGATTAATGACTGCAGGTAAAACTTCAATTAATAGGCATCTCTGTCTCCTTCCATGTACGTCTGTCAATCCCAGTGATCACAACTGAATTTCTCCTGTGGGGATCAATAAAGGCTGATCTTATCTTGTCACAGGCACAAGAGGAAATTTATATCCAATACTACAACATACACAGGATACAGGTTTATCATTTTAAATATATTTTCTCATTTAGGTGCATGTAACTGAAAAAAGGTTCAAAAGCGATACAAAATGGTCTCAAATAATAGGTTTTAAAAACAACCCTTTGCAAAAGGAGGTATCTCCTTTACATGCAAAGTAGATGTATAGCATGACATATAGGTATAGCATGACAATTGCACAAATCGGTTTTTAAGTGTGCCTGAAACCCCTCAGGATGGAAAGAAAAGTTCACTGTGACAGAATGTCGTCTAGGTAGATTTTTTCTTTAACTGATGGCCAGACGAGAAATTCAGGTGTGATCACTGGGACTGACAGGTACATGAGGAAGAGGACAAAGATAAAAAGAGAAGAGATCTTATAGAAGAACCTGTAAAAAAGAACTACATCTACTACGTATATTAACACAGACGGAATGCAGCGGTGAAAGTAGACTGAAGTTCTTGCTGTTACCACTTAACATTCGATGCTTCATAGTTTTCTCCTCGTCCCCCTCATACAACATGACAAAACAGACGGACAACAAAAACAGTAAAGAAAATAAATAAAGTAAAGGAATAATGAATCAAGCGCACCCTTCTAAGCACTGTGTCTTTCCACCGGCACCTAAGAACAACACAAAATTTTAAATGTGTTCACTGGATGAAAAAAGTAAAATATAAAAAATATGTCAAAATAAGTACGGTCACATGTTACAAAGGACACAACATTTTGAGTAGTTACCAGAGAACAAATGAGGAACTAACTGCTAGTGAACCATTTGTTAATAAGTAACTCCTAATAAAATTTTATGAAGTAGCTAATGATTAGTTAATTAAAAAGTGAGTGCGGAGCGAATCAGAAATAACAAAAGCAGTTCAATTCAATAATCAAGTTGTTCTTGATTTGTTCCACACTTGTTACTAAATTAAAGCTACAGTAGGTAATGTTTATATAAATTACTTTTTGTTATTATTGCTGAAATGTTCACTGTGTTCTGACACTAGTACATGAAACAGAGAATCTGTGAAAAAAATCTGGTTCTTCTGGCTCCTCCTAGAAAACAA